TCCAGCCAAACTCGAACCGTCGACCTTGTCTGTGGGGGGACAGGAGCTTATCCATTAAGCTATGGGACCCGAACCCCCAAAATAATTTTTTTATATATTGTACGGTTCTGTTCTTGAAAGGACCTAATAGAATTTAGGAATTTTTAAGATTTCTTAATTAGGAATGATTTACAGTTGGCGTAGCGGATTCATAGACAGATTGGCTAATAAATTCAATTTAATTTTACATTATTTATACAGTTTAGAAAAAAAGCAAAAATAATCATAATGAAATAAAAAAAAAAAACTTTATAGAATATTTCATTAGAGCTGTAGGACTCCATAGTCAAAAAAAAAGTCTAATTCTCGTCTGTTTAAAAAAATTAACTTAGAAATAAGTTGGTTTGAGAAGTTATTACTATACTAACTTTTTTAAACAGATGTGAATTAGATCTTATTTTTGGCTATGGAGTCCTACAGCTCTAATAAAACCTTCTATACAGTTTTTTTTTTTAAAAAATTTCATTATGATTATTTTTCGTTTTTTTAAAAAGTACTCTAAACTGTATAAATAATGTCCAATCAGACAAACTCTGCCTATGAGTAGTGGATACGCTCCCAACCCACCACAGACAAGGCCAACGGTTCGAGTTTGACGGGAGGCAGAAAATACTCTGTAATCTGACTAGAAGTCAATATCGAATGTGAAGCCCTACGGTACAAGTCCAGGTGAATATGAGTTTGGAATCAGGAATTCCTGGAAGGAGATCAACCTGTAGAGTGCAAGCACCGTACGTGGTAAGTGAAGCGGTGAACACAACGAAGATCTGGGAAAGGATTGGCATTACCAAATGCGGAACACCTCTGGCATAAAAAAATCCAAAACAGGATCTACCTCCGTTTCGGTAGAGTTTACCTCACGGATAAAGTAGCCCGAAAGTCCGCTAGATATTAATTTTAAGTTTGGTGTTACAGAAAAAGCATTGAAAATAAGAGACTTTAAATAGGGAATCCACAGGCAGGTTCCAGGTATGGCAATTAGCAGGTAACTTGCTGGCAAAACTTTTAAATAGATAACGACAAAAATTGTACGTGTGGCATTAACCGAAAAAAAAAGAGTTCCAATAAATTTTCTTATTATAAGATACAGAAACAAAAAGTTACTTAATAACAATAGAGCATGCTAATAATGGTACTCTACAAGATTATATTTTAAGCCGTGAAAATGATTTGAGTCTGACAATTGCGAATGATATAGCATATGGATTAAAACATATACCGGTATATGATATGAAATCCTTCATAAAAGACTTGTATGTTTCTATTTTTCTTTTCTATATATTTTACAAAAATAACGAATATTATATATATATGTAAGAGTACAAAAAAGCTTTTATGAATAAAGAAAGTAAAAATATCAAGCCCAGCATTTCTAGAACTAAATATTGATGTTTTATCGTAACAAAAAGATGTGCGTTTTTGAATCCAGAGGTTATAAAAGATCGAACTCTGAACTTACTTTAGCATCAGACATTTACGACCTAGGAGTTATAATGTGGTCAATATCTAGTAGAAAATATCCATTTAAAGGCAGCACTGATCAAAAAACATTGGTGGACCAAATTATAGTGAAATATATGTAAGAGTACAAAAAAGCTTTTATGAATAATAAGAAAGTAAAAATATCAAGCCCGACATTTCTAAAACTAAATATTATGTGCGTTTTTGAATCCAGAGGTTATAAAAGATCGAAACTCGGAACTTACTTCAGCATCAGACATTTACGACCTAGGAGTTATAATGTGGTCAATATCTAGTAGAAAATTTCCATTTGAAGGCAGCACCGGTCAAAAAACATTGGTGGACCAAATTATATTGAAAAATATACGCGAACAATCCGACAATAACATTTCACCTGCATATACGATTTGTATCAAAGATGCTGGTAAATGACCTTCTATGGTGTTGTGTTTAAACTACTAGAAGTTATGCTATAAAAAGAACAAAATCCCAATTGAATATTAGGTATGATTATGTTATTACAGTTTATATTGATAAATAATAATGGTTACTATTTGATGTTTATACAAATATATGCTCCTGAAATTTCACAATAAAATATTGAAGCTACTGAAATTTCACAATATAATATTGAAGCCTCTGAAATTTCTCAACAAAAAATAAAGTTCCTCAACAAAAAAATAAAGCTCCTGAAAGTTCTCATCAAAAAAAATAACAACCTTGAAATTCCAGATTATTCTATAGATGAAAGAAACCAACGAATAGTGTCTTACTATACTTAAAATTTATAGGAAAGTTGGGTTATGTTATGAGTTTAGTTCCAGTAGCATTTTTTTTAGAGAAATAATATAAGTTGTCAAAGATAGAGCTTGTTACGGCAACAAATAGATTTTCATGTTTTCAATTGTTTTTCAATAAATTTATCTGATTGAGCAATAATAATAAAAAATCACGCCAGTAACCGATCTTCAACACACTTTGCCAGATCACTATTTGTAGGAGGCCAACAGCGATAGTGAGCACCGATTGTATATTGCGTCAATTATTTTTAATTATTTTTTCAATGTATTTTAAATTATTTACCTCTCATTAACTTCTTTTATTATTGTTAATTTAGTTTGTGAATACAACGATCACTTATTTAATCAAAGTCTCTTAATTTTTTCTCATTCTTATCAATTTAATATATAAGAATCATTTTGTTTTGATTTGAATATTGCATTATCTTATTTGTTTATTTTACTGGAGGTATAATGATAAATATATTTAAGCAAAACACTTTTATATAACATCTTTCTATTTGCACTGATTTATTATTATCACATTATTTTACTAATTCATATAATAATACAATTAAAAGTTTATTTTTTCTTTGCATGTTACTAACAATACTATGTTTTAAACATAACAAACTGGTTAAATTAATTGAAATGATTCCAATGAGTAAATAGATAATAGTTGATAGATTGATAGTTTCAACAGTAGAAAGGTTCATGATTTTAATAATATGGGTCCATAATCTTAGCAATAGTGATTTAATAACTTGAATATTGGGTGAATAACAATTTTAACAGTGGCAAATTCATGATTTTAATAGTAAGTAGGTTAGTAATAGTTAGGTTAATAGTTTTAATATTAGGTGAATTTATAATTTTAATGATATATAAATTTATGATTTTAAAATCAGATGGGTTAATAATCTTAATAGTAAGTAGTTTTATGATTTTGATAATAATTTCAATAGTAAATAAGTTTATGATTTTAACCATAAATGAGTTAGTAATTTTAATATAATTATTGTAGTTCATGATTCTATTAGTAAGTAGTTTATAATTTAATAGTAGTTGGGTTAATAATCTTGATAATATGTATGATTTAATTGTAGCTGTGTTAATAATCTTAATAAAATGTAATTTAACAATTTCATTATTTTAATAATTAAAGTTATAAATTTGAAAATAATAATTAAATTAATAAAAGTAAAAAACAAAGATGTATTAATTTTCAAAAATATCTAATTGTATTATATTTCTGATTTAAGCGTGACTATATTGTGCAGCTAATTTTTTAGTAGCAATACTGAGAAAATTAGTAACTAGTACAATAATAACACTAGCATACCAATAATCAAGACAGTAGTCACATGCATTTTGACCTTTAGCCCTATCTTATAATAAAATATATAAATATCAAGTAAAGAACTTTTCGAAGAAAAATTAATCATATAATAGAATAAGAATTTTTAATAAAGTATATAACTATTATGACCTTGCTCTTATTAATAAAGTAAATAACTAATATAAACTTGCTTTTATTAATTAATTAAACCACACATTGCTTTGGCAAAATACTGAATTAAAAATATAAATTTAAAAATATTTATAAAACTATTATAATTATTATATACTAGCTTTATTTAATATTGTATATTTTGTTATTATTCTTTTATATTATAGTAAGTTATACCTCCTTCTATACCATAACACATCTTTGACCAAATTTTCAAGTAGGTTTAATTTTGGGGAATTTACAGATAAGGGCCCAAAAACGAAAATAATTACAAATAAGTGCCCAAAATGAAAATAATTACAGATAAAGGCCCAATATTTAAAAATATTACAAATAATAGCTCAAATATACTGTCAAAGTTACTAGCCAATTAAATGTAGTGGTATCATGATTAATTGCTTCATTTCGAGGATTAAAAACAAAATCTAAGCAACTGACAGATTTTTGAAATCTTGCAATGCAAATGAAAAATTAACTATATGTATCCTAATAGCTTTACTTCTCCAGGCTACAGTATATGATGTCTCAGCCCCACTTCAAAATGAACACAATTTATATATCACGAGGTAGAAGTCCTGCTATATCTTAACTAATAGCGCAGTAACTTTACAAGATACAATCCACGCGTTTTGAATGCTTCCATAGAAGTTAAACAAGTTAAACAAGTTGGATCATGAGGAATTAGCCTTATTATATATTTCGCTTGTTAACTGAAATAGTAAAAGGGCATAAACTGGT